GATGTAGGTAGCGCCAAATGTCACCGAGATAGAATCCAGTAGGTCACCGATATGGTAATCCAAAATGTCATCGAACAAGATCAAATGTCGTGGACAATAAGTCACCAATATCGGAGATACAGAGTCCCAATGTAACCGGTGTACAATCTGTGATGCTGCCGAGTATCAACCCCAACAATCTCCAAGTCTCGAATCCGGTAAGTGCCACAGCCTCTTACCACTGAAGTCCAACACTGATCTCTGTCCAACTAGTGTCAAGTCTCCAGTCTGAAGAAGATGAAGAAGTCTGAAGAAGAAGAAGAGATGGAGAAGAAGAAGAAGAGATGGAGAAGAAGAAGAAGAGATGGAGAAGAAGAAGAAGAAGAAGAGATGGAGAAGAAGAAGAAGAGATGGAGAGGAAGAAGAAGAGAACAGCGAAGGAGAGAGGTGAGAGGAACAAGGGACCGTGGGGGGAGGAGACAACCTCACCCCCGAGTACCTGGTCTGCTGCCAATGCCTGGCGTCGAAGTCGGCTATGGCTGTTCGCTGGATGGGTCCTCGCTCGCTGCGGCTGCTGCTCCTCTATGCTGCGCTAAGAATAGCGCTGCGCTCCTGCTGTAACACCGAAACGAACTGGCGCTCTCGCAGCGTCCAGTTGCTCGATGCCTCANGCGCTCCTGCTGTAACACCGAAACGAACTGGCGCTCTCGCAGCGTCCAGTTGCTCGATGCCTCAAAGTGAGGCTGGGCCGGTCTTTAGTACCGGTTGGCAGGAGGCCGGCCTCAATGCTGCAAGGCCTGGCCGTGACCTGAACCGTCGAGATCGTCAGTTCAGATCACACCGGCGGGCGACAACCTCAAGAGCGCCGCCAGGCCCAAACGATAATGTCGTTTGGGCCTGCCCGTCAGGTCTGGTCCAAAGATGCGGCCTTTCGACCTGCTGTACCCCAAGTCTGGGCTTTAGGCCCTACTGTGTCCCTCTGGCCCTAAGTCGGGTTCGGTACGACCCGTGTGGCGTCGAAGATGTAACAAATATCCTTGGTATCCCAAGACCCCATTGAATCGCCTGCAACCTTCTCAGGAGACAAGAAGGATGAGACGCTCGACACATGGTTGAGAATGGTGCCAGTGTGGGTGAGGGCCAAAAGGACATCGGTAGAAGAGGAGGTGATTACTGCTGCATCCTACTTAGAGGGTTCAGCAGCCCATTGGCTAAACGGATTGGTAGCTTCAAAGGGCTTCGGCAGGAACATGCATGATTGGGCGCAGACCCATCCATTAGAAAGCTTTATGGACTTAGTGGAGGCTTGTTGGCACAACCCTCAGCAGGCACATATTGCCACTAATGGGCTCTTGAAACTTGATACTAGAAAGTACAAGTCTGTGCGGGAACTCACCACAGCCATAGAGCGCCTGATCGTCGTCCCGGGAGTGGAGTACAATCCACAGGTCTTGCTGACCATGTTCCTGAGATGTCTTCCCATAGACATTAGGAATTTATTAGCCAGCGATGCTCGCAGAGAGTATCACACCTTTGAGTCATTCAGCAAGAAGGCCCTAGACTTAGAGGCTACGGTGGGTGGAGCTCAAACCCCTTCTACGGATGGGAGAAAGAAGAAGACTCCACAAGAGTGGAAGAAGAAGGATAGTCGATTGATGATGGTTGATTCCGATGGAAATCAAACCAAGATCAATGATGTTTTCGATCTTGTGGAGGGTTCAGAGTTTGACGGCGAGGAGAGTGCTGAGGGTAGCAACCTCGCTGCCGTAGTTAAGACTAAGCCAGCTGGCCGCGGCAAGGGCGGTCAACAAAGGAGTCAGGGGCAGGCCGCTAACCCAAACAAAATAGCTGCTTGGGTTAGAGAAGGTTTGGGTCAAAAAGTGTGGCGGGACCGTTGATCTCGAGGTGCTTGTATTAACTGCGGTGAGTATGGTCACACACAGTTCAAATGCAAGAACCCGAAGGTCTCGCAAAAGATCCCTCCTAAGGGTGGGTTCTCTTCTTCTCAATCTGGGGCCTCTACAAGCTCCATCTTGGGAAACACTTAGGGCCAGTAGAAGTTATAGCTGCTTCTACTCTCGTTGAAGCGGGTGATGTACCCTCCCCGTTTCAAGAGATGGCCAAAGCTATTGACTCCTTAGTCACCCCGCAGACGCATCCGGACCCAACTATACCTTGTACGTTGGATGTGTCTGAGGCCTTAGAGGACCTTCAAGGTGAGTGGTCGTCAAGGGACTCTCGTGAGTCCTGGGTGGCATTGAATAGAGGTCCTAGAGGGGAGCATTTTGTTGTGGAAGTTGATGTGGGCGGTTGTAAGTGTGGCGCCTTTGTAGACATTGGCTCCACACAAAACTTCATAAGTCGCGACTGCGTTGACAGACTGTGCCTAAAGACTGGGTGCAGCGCCTTAGTAGACCGGTAACATCTACTTTGGCCAACAAAGAGTGCATGATGGTGGAGGACTACGTTAAAGATGTAGTCTGCACCTTCTCCTACCCAGGAGGAGAGATAAACCATAAGATATCATTCCTGGTGAGCGACGAGTTGCCCTTTGACATGTTGTTGGGCATGTACTACCTCGAGGTTGCCAAGCCCCAGTTTGACTGGGACAAGAAAGTGTTGAAGCACGAGTTGCCCAGTGGGAGAACCATGAGACTGGCCAAGTACAAAGCCAGTAGGTTAGTAGACTCCTATGGGTGCTTATGCGCATCTGCTTTCTATAATTATTATAAACAAAACCAAGAGGAAGGAATGTACTTAGTCTATGTCTCTGCAAAAGGGGAGGCCGTTAAAACACCCCCAGAGATAGAGACCATCGTCGCTAAGTACCCTGATCTGTTCGAGGAGCCTACAGGAGTCGTAAACAGGGAGGTTGTTCACGCCATAGAGATCATCCCAGGTAGTAAGACACCTAAGGGTAGAATCTATAGGATGGCTCCGACCGAGTTGGACGAGCTTCGGTGGCAACTGAAAGAGCTCACAGAGAAGGGCTGGATTCGGCCTAGCACTTCCCCCTTTGGCTCACCAGTATTGTTTGTTCCAAAGAAAGGGGGAACACTAAGGATGTGCATTGATTATAGAGGCCTCAATGCCATCACCGTTAAGAACGCAAAGCCTCTACCACGCATCGACGACCTATTGGATAGTGTGCAAGAGTGTAAGTACTACACAAAGATAGACTTCAAATCCGGCTGCCATCAGATTGCCATAAGACCAGAGGACCAGCACAAAACCGCATTTCATACCAGCTACGATCTGTACGAGTTTGTGGTGATGCCCTTTGGCCAGGTACGGTCTGTACGAGTTTGTGGTGATGCCCTTTGGCCTTTGCAATGCGCCGGGTACATTCCAGCACGCCATGAATAGGATCTTCCGTGACTACTTGGACAAGCTTGTTGTCGTGTACCTCGACGACATACTTATCTTTAGTAGATATGTCGAGGAGCATGCTCAGCATGTAGACACTGTACTTTCACTCCTTCGGCAGCACAAGTATAAGATAAACTCTGAGAAATGCGAGTTTGGTCGCACTCGAATCTTGTACTTGGGTCATGAGGTATTCGCGGATGGGATAAGGCCCGAAGATGCGAAGGTGGCTAGCATTCGAGACTGGCCACGACCCCAGTCTGTGACTGAGGTCAGATCATTCTTGGGAATGTGTGGTTATTACCGCAATTTCGTAAAGAATTATTGTACGATCACATCTCCCTTGACTGATCTAACTCGTCTTGACACACCATGGGACTGGACCGACAAGTGTGAGGCAGCTTTCAAGCGTTTGAAGCATGTTGTCACGCATCATGAGGTTCTCATGGTACCCGACCCGCAAAGGCCATTTGTTGTAACCACTGACGCAAGCCAATATGGGATTGGCACAGTGCTGGCTCAGCAGGAAGGGAAGAAGTTGAGACTGATCGAGTACATGAGCAAAAAGATGCCATCAAAAAAGTTGGCAAAGTCCACCTATGAAAGGGAACTCTACGCTCTTTACAAGGCACTTGTCCATTGGAGGCACTATCTGTTAGGAAGGTTCTTCTATCTGAGAACTGACCACCAGACCCTCAAGTGGATCAAGACTCAACCTGTTCTCTCTGATGCACTCAAACGCTGGATTAAAGTCATAGATCAATATGATTTCAAACTTGACTATTTGAAGGGAGAGTACAACAAGGTTGCAGATGCTTTGTCTAGGAGGGCAAATTACCTAGATGCGCTGATTTCTGAGTTTGGTTTGTTCGAGGACATGACTCGATCGTTGGATGAAGCCTACAAGGAAGATCCTATCACGATGGACATCATCAACAAACTACAAGCTAAAGATAAGGCCACCACTGATGAGTTTGTGATGGTGGATGGGTTGCTCTTTCTTGAGAAGACAGGGTTCAAGAGGTTAGTTGTTCCATCTACTTTGTGTAGTTTATTTTTAGGTGAGTGCTACGACGCAATGGGACATTTCGGCTATAAGAAGACGAGTGCTAATTTAGTACAACGATTCTGGTGGCCCAACATGCTTGACGATGTGAAGAAGTACGTGGAGACCTGTCAGGTCTGTCAGCGGGACAAGCCGCGGACTCGAGCTCCGCTTGGGTTACTCAAGCCTTTACCCATTCCTGCTGGCCCAGGGCAGAGTATCTCCATGGACTTCATGGATACTCTTGTGACCAGCAAGAATGGCAAGAGGCACATCTTCGTCATAGTGGATAGGTTCACTAAGTACGCTAGACTAATCGCCATGCCAGAGACTGCCAGGACTGAGCACGTCATCAAGTTGTTCATGGACAACTGGGTGCGTGATTTTAGATTGCCTAAGACTATCGTTAGGGATAGAGATGTCCGTTTCACTAGTGAGATGTGGAAGAAGGCCGCTGAACAGATGGGCAGCCAGCTTCAGATGACTTCTGGAAGCAAATGGACAGGCTGAACAGATGAACCGAGTGGTGCAGCATCTGCTGAGGCATTACATCAAGCCCAGCCAGGATGACTGGGATGAGAAGTTACCTCTCATCACCAGTCTGTACAACAACGCTGTACACAGCACCATCGGTGTCAGTCCTAACCAACTACATCTGGGATGGAAGCCTAGATCTGCTCTAGACTTCCTCCTGCCTGAAAATCGAACTGCTGCAAATCCTGGAACCATCGAATTTGGTGTCCAGTATGAGAAACTGCTGCAGCAGAGTGTCGAACACATTAAGAAATCTCAGGAGATCATGATTGCTTCTGAGAACAAGCGTCGACGACAGTCCACATTTCAGGTAGGGGAACGTGTCTGGGTCAAGGCTAGTGAACTGGGACAGGAGTTTGGCATCTCTAGGAAACTAATGCCTCAGTATTTCGGTCCCTGGGAAGTCCTGGATATTGTGGGGAATGATTTGGATGGTCCCTCGTATGTTATTCGTATCCCTGGTCACTTACGCACTTACCCTGTTTTCCACGCTTCCAAACTTGCACCTTTCGCTGAGACAGCACAGTTCCCATCACGGAGATCTATGCTGCCCCCAACCATGGATGGCCACGTGGACGTTGACGACATCCTGGATCACAGAGATACGCCTGTTCCTAAGCCACCTGGCAGGGGGAGACCTCCCAAACCTGCGAGGGAATACAGAGTACATTTCAGGCATCATACAGATCCGAAGGAAGATCGATGGATTTCAAGGAGGAACTTGTCAAGACAGCTCCTCAGATCGTGGCCGATTATGAGAAAAGACTGAAGGGGAAGGCACCAGCATGAAGCATCTCAGCGGACTTTTGAAGCTAAGGGGGATGGAATGTGAGGAACAAGCCCTCAAGTGGCCCTATCAGACATCACATTGTTCTGGGCCAAGGCCCCAGCAAGCCAAGTGCCGCCCTAAGTGAAGGCGGGCCTGAATATTCGTCACAGGTCAAATTCGACATTTCCATATGTGGGTATTCAGGCTCTTGCAGCACGTCAGTTGGTTGAGTGAACGCGCGAGCCTCACTAAGCTGCGATGTACAGTTGGCCCAGGCCACGAAAGCTGTGCCTGGGCACCTACACATAAAGCAGGGCCGATACATTGAGAAGCAGGCCGTCGGCCTCTGGAAGAGCAGTACAGCCGATGCACCTACCTGGGGGCCCTGCGCAGATGCAGCTAACAGCCCAAGTCGGGAGACTCAGGCCGCGCCCAACTGTAAAGGGTCCAGGCCCTCAACTGTAAGTCTCGGCCTGGGCACAGGGTCTGAGGCCCAACCGGAAGCTTCTGGAAGCTTCCAGCCAGGGCACACGCAGCATGCAGCAGGCTGCCACTTCCATAAAGGAAGTGAGGCAGCCCAGGCCAGACACACTGGCCAGCGCTGGCAATGCGGAACTGCTGCTGCGCTTCTGCCTGATGCTGCGCTAATGCCAGGGGCGCTGATGGAGCGCTAGGTGGTGAGAGGGGCGCTGCAGGGCAGCAGGGGCGCAGGCGGCCATAGCCGGGCTGCTAGGCGCCAGGGGGTACAGCGGATGATCGGGTGGTCTTCAGGGAGTGAGAGGCTGCGTGGGATAATCAAGGTCTGATTGAGGGTGACAAGATACGTACCTGGTACATGAAGAGAGGTCGCCGATGGTGTTGACAGTCATGTACATTGGTCTTCGTGAGCCGAAGTGATCCTGTTGTGTGAACCAGCTGTAGAGTAGGATAGTGTTGTAGAGTAGGCTGGGCGCTGTGCGCCAGACAGAGAGAGCGACTCTGGATACTGTGTTGGTGTGGCCTACGGGCTTGGACATTGGCTCAATACTTGATTGTATTGCTCTTTATGGATGGTTTTCTCGGTGCATTTGTACTCTCTACTTGGGATACTACTACTTGCTCAGCTGTGTGATTTTGCAACTTGGTTTTATGTATATCGCTCACACTCATATTCCTTGCATTTGTCATTTCTGCAAGGATTTTATGTATATCGCTCACACTCATCCTTGCATTTGTCATTTCTGCAAGGAAAATGAGCAGTAGTGAAATGACGGAATTCCAAATTGAAAAACACATTGCAAAATCACAATGAAAGCCAGATAGTCGAATGCTGTCCAGAAAGAAGAAATGCACTGATATCACACCGAAGGAGAACCAAAGCAGCGATCTCAAGTGTCAATGAAAGCATCCTCTCGCCACCACCAACAATGGCTTCAGAGCTCCATCTCCTACTTGGCGCTCAGCGCCCGGACCACCATGGCAAAGCCACTACCCTACGCTACACAGATGACGAAAGAGCGGATAGGAGACAATGGGAGGGGATGGGAGA